ATTGAATGCCAAATTAAATGCTCGCCAGTCGCCACCATTCATCATTCACCCAGAAATCTTCTTACCAGTGATTTGCTATTTTATTGCTAACTTCCCACTCTTACTCTTTTTTTTTTTTAAATGAAAATAATGGTGAGAAATTTAGTTGTAATTAAGTATTAGTAATTGAAAATTCAATTATCAAATTGGGTGAACATTCCACCTCTCAATTGAGGTGTGTGACCATCGAACCTCTTCGGTGGAGTTCAAGTTCCAACTCTTACTTGACATGATTGTAGGAAAACATTATGAAAAATTATAAAATCAAAACACATTTATTATTAATTAAAATTGAGTTTATTTAACTTGTATTTTTAATAAAATTATTTTATCTTATATCATAAATATATAAGATAAAAATATAATAAATATATATTTTTTATAATTAATTATTTAAATACATGAACTGTATTACAAAGAGGAGTGTTTGTGTATTTCAATGCGCTTGAAGTACACAAGTTAGAAATTTCTTTTTTTAATTTGTATAAAAAATGTAATATTTTATTTTATTTTTAACACTAATAAAGGTGCATGATTTTAATTTGATAGTTAATAAAATAAAATAAAATTTTTAATTTTTTATAACAATTAATAAAAAAAGATACAATTGATACAATTTTAGCCTTGTGCCCTAATGACACATAACAAAAAAGAAAAAAAAACTATTAAAATTTCTTAATTTATCCTTATTAATAAGGGTAGTTTGGAAATTAGGATGTATTATTTTAAGGATTTTTTTAACTTGTGCTCCAGAGCACATATTAAGAGTATAATTAATATATTTTTTAGCCATTAATTCATATTAAAAAATAAAAAACTTGATAATAATTTTAATATAATGTTACGTGTCTTAATTTAATTAGTTAGCTATTAATATTATACTCAAACTTTATTTTTTAATGTAATTGGATTGCTAAAATGTACATTAATTGCTTTCTTTTAATAAAATAACCTTCTTTTTAATAAAATAGTCATTATTAATAGACGTAAAATTAAAAAAAAAAAAAGATCTTAATACCATATTGAAAATTGAAATTGATAAGTAAATTAGACAATCTCCTTTTAAAATGTGTAACAAGTAAAATGAACTACATGTAACACTCTACTTAAAAAGAGATGATCCAATTTACTTGTTAAATTTAATTTTTAACATAATAATTAAGTCATTTTTAAAAAAATTTTATGCATGTTAATAATTACTTTATTTTTAAAAGAAAACATCACTTCCTTGCTACTACCATTCATGAAAGTAAAATTAATTGAGAGGTGAGGAAGGAGCTATTTAGATTCAAAATGTTATTAATTAATAAGAAAGTTTTTTATATATTTAGATATTTAACCAAACAAAATATGACATGAAATCAAAGGCGAATTTTGAAAACGAAATAAAAGTGAAAGCAACTATGTACCGACGGTACAGGATCTTGAAAAATTCGAAATAAATGCCGACCGACCAAAGCGTTGAATCATAAATAAGAACATCAACAGAAGAGGGATCAAAACGATGTGCTAATTTAATGCTCATAAAGAAAATGATGTGCTCATTTAATGCTACAAGTAGCATTTTCACTTGTCAATTTATTGCATATGAAAAAATCGGGGGAAAGAAGATGGCATCTTTGCACATGTATAATACAAACAAATCATGAACGACAATCCAAACATCAAACATTTGTTTCTCTAACGAGTAATTCCATGAAATTTACGGCTTTAGGGTCCCATTTGCAAACTATTTAAATATGGAAGGGCAGTAAAAGGATCGTATCCAAACCGTTTTCAACTTCCTATTCAACCGTACAGGGTCACTGGCTCTCTCTCTCTCTCTCTCTCTCTCTCTCTAATAAGGGTTTAAATACATTTTTGGTCCCTTAAACTTTTCAATTTTGTATGAAATTGGTTCCTTAACTTTTTTTGACATCTTTTGGTCCCTCAACTTATCAATTTATTTTGTGCTTGAGATTGTTATGGTATCTTATGCGTGGAGTAACACACCTTAATGTTGTTAAACATAGCTCTAGTATTAGGGTTATAAGTAATTTTTTTTTTTTATCATCCAATTTGAGTTATAAGTAATATAATACTACCTGATTATATATCATGAATTGCATTAGTGTTTTGAGTGGTTAAGATATTATTTATTACTTCTTGTAATGCAGTTCATGTATTTTGAAAGATAATTTGTAAATCTACAATAATATTGTAATTAGAAGATCTCAATCTCATTTATAAAAGTTGGTCTTCTCAAGAATAAAAGAATGATTATAATTGAACATATGCATCAAGAGAAATGCCATTTGGTCTATGATTGGCTTGAGTGCAATTTTTTAAAAAAATAAAAAATAAAAAATAGAGACCAATGAGAGGAGGAGTGTTTGTGCATTTCAATCCATGTCAAATGCACATGGTACTTTTCATGCAAAAATGACATTTTTCTTTATTTTTTATGTTTTATTAAGAGATTACATTGAATTACTTACTAATCCTTTGAGAATAAATGAATCGAAATATTTACATTTTTATTATTTAGGTGATCATAATACATTACTAAATTTGATTTATATTATTTGGATCGAGATTTAAACTTCTCACTAACATATAAAACTCAAAAAGGTCGCACCCAAGATGGCAAACCAAAAAATAAAAGTTGGATACATGAATGCAATGATTCATTCATGGTGCAACTATAAACTTAAGAGAAGAAGTTAAAATGAGATCAAAATGTCAACTTAATTCCTTTACTTTCTTATATTATGAACTAAAAAAAGGAAGACTTTCCTCGCAGCAAACATGGCCTCAAAAGATCAACATAAATTAATTTTAGGAGATTTTTACATCAACTGCTGTCTGCTGTGCTGTAAACCAACAAAGACAAGAGGGGTCATGGCCATGGCCATGGGTGCCGTTTCAGAGAGGGTCCCAGATTTTCTGCATTTCAAAAAATTTCTGCTAGATTTGAAATCTTTCTTTTTTGGCCATATTTTTTTGAAATCTACTGAGAGGGACGGTAAAGCGCAATGTCCGGTCAAGACCATTTTGACTCCAGGCCCTCCCTTCCCTCTTTCTCTCTCCACACGTTCATTCACAAGTTTAAATCTTTAATTTTCAATGGTTTTTTCTTGAAACTGCAAGAAACCCTTCTATATCATCTCTCCCCTGCCATCCAATCCACCCACTTTACCTCATTTCTTTCCTCATCCCTTACCCTTGTTTCACTTTTTTCTCTGAAGCACCTTCCTTTCTCTTACTGAACTTTTAAAAGTACTTGAATATTACTTGTGCTGTAGCTTAGGAATTACTGTGGGCTTTAAAGGAGATGAGTGCTTCAAAGTTCATTAAATGTGTTACTGTTGGAGATGGAGCTGTTGGGAAGACATGTATGCTTATATGCTATACCAGCAACAAGTTCCCTACTGTAAGCTTTTTTCAAGAACCCACCAGCTAAAAGCCTCTTATTTTTCTTGTTCTTGTCGCATTTCTGTACTTTGATTTTGGGTTTTGGGTTTTTGAAAACTCAAAATGGATCTTCTCAGAAGTATGCATTCTGGAATCTGGGATGGTTTTTCCCGTTTGAATTTCTCTTTCTGAAGGTTTTTAGAAGAAATTGTTTCTATGCCCCTCACATGTTTGTTTGTTTCGTTTTCTTTTTCTTTCTTGCCAGGATTATATACCAACAGTGTTTGACAATTTCAGTGCCAATGTTGCCGTGGATGGGAACATTGTGAATTTGGGGCTATGGGATACTGCAGGTATTTGGGTATTCTTGAGTTATTCTGTGCTTTTTGTTAACGATTTTGATGGATTTATGGATTTAGATCTTTTCTTCTGACTGACTCCTGTTTCTTTTGATTTAAAGGTCAGGAAGATTATAGCAGGTTGAGGCCACTGAGTTACAGAGGTGCAGACATATTTGTTTTAGCTTTTTCCTTGATTAGTAGGGCAAGCTATGAAAATGTTCTTAAGAAGGTACTAAATTCATGAATTTTCTTGCTTCTTTTAAGATCATCGTTTGCTTTTGTTCCTTTAATGTTTGACAGTTAATTAATGTGATCTTGTTATGAGGGAATTTGCAATATTTTCATGGGAGCTTTTGTTAGTCTACCCTTTTCAAGTTCATAGTACATAAATAACTAAATGTATCCATTTAATTTGTTCTCAGTGGATGCCAGAGTTGCGTCGATTTGCACCGAATGTTCCAATTATTCTTGTTGGAACAAAACTAGGTCAGGAGATACACAAGGAATTAACCTTTTAGTTACATTCGTTAGTATGTTCCATATATGTTGATATCTTAACAGCATAGAGTTAAATTCTTCCTATTTCTGCCAGATCTTAGGGAGGACAGAGCATATCTTGCTGATCATATGGGGTCTAATATCATATCATCAGCTCAAGTAAGAATTCATTACTTCTTCAACTAATCTTTTTTACAAATGTATGTTTGGGAGTCTATCCTTCTGTGCTTGAAAGTAGCTCATTCTGATCATAATAAACAGGGAGAGGAGCTAAGGAAACAAATTGGCGCAGCAGCTTATATTGAATGCAGCTCTAAGACACAGCAGGTGGAATACTTTTAACATTTGATGATGGGTTGAGTTTCTTCTTTCTTGATATATTAGCAGGGTTGCTGTTTTACAAACTCTCTTCTTTTTTCCCTCTTCCTAAAAACACGTCTGTGTTGATTCCTCAGAATGTCAAAGCTGTTTTTGATACTGCAATCAAGGTCGTTCTTCAACCAACAAGGAGGAAGGAAATTGCAAGGAAGAAAGGACGCAGAAGTTCCTGTTGCTCAATTGCGTAAGTACCCCCCACTCCTTTGTTCTCTATATTAGGTTGTTGCCTATTTTTCTTCTAAAGCTAGACTTCAATCATATAGTGTTACACTGTTACAGTACCAATTGCAAGGTATGGAACATGGATCCAGGATTCCACATCAGAAGTATGAGATCCTGATGTGGGGTTTGTATGGCCTTGGGCTCTCCCACTTCAACAGCTAGCTTTTGGGGTGTGGTTGTTCCAATGTTCATATCATATTGTTACTAGTTGGGTAACTAGATTGATATAGTAATAGAAAACTTCAAAATCTCAGCTCTCCCATAAAGAGTTAAACAGCTCCCAAGTTTCTAGAGACAATGCCTGTGAAAAATTAGTGAGTGAAAAGTCTCAGTTTATGCAATCGAAATATCTGATTCTGGTCAGACCATTTTCTGCCATCTTTTACTGGTTTAATCCCCAAAATTTTCCTCTTTCAATATATAAACTGCAGGTTTGTCACCAATTACTGCTTATAAATTCTGTAGTTTAGATATAGGAACAAATATTGCATGGACATATCCTCTAAATAATATTCAAATTTCAAGAAGCGATGATTTTCACTACCCATGTACTGTTGATACATCTCTTTTGCTAAACATTCACAATTAGAACTCGTGGCCCATTGCAGGAGCATAGTGTGTGGAGGATGTGATGCTTAGGACTTCCATTCTCCAACAGAAATATCACCAACCACTTTTGAAGAAGGATGACTTTTTTCCCTTTTTGCAATGGTTTGGGGGATATGTGTTCTCATGCATAGGATAGCCAGAATGACACAAACTGACTGGAAGCTCAGTGGAGGGAATTGTTCATTCTCTCATGTATTGCTAATTTGTTATTATGTACCTATGAGATTAATGTTTTGGTGGTTTGCTGAAGTAAACTTGCTTGCTATGTATTAAATTGCCTTACCTGGTTATTATCTGTGCCTTTCCCCTTTATATTTTAGCTTAGAGAATAGAATCTGTTGTTTCTTCTTCTTTTCAAAGTGATTCACGTGATACCTGAATGATCCAACACAAATTCACGAGAAAAAGAGTTGTGGATGGATGAAAGCTGTGCCATTTTGCATTTTGGGAGACTCATTAATGCAAGGACGCAATTTGCACTATCACGTGCTCCTGTTACTCTTGAATTTCACTAGAGAGACCCCAGAAGGAAAGGCATGAAAGGCACATGGATCATCCTGTGTTCTTGGGAAGTAATTAGGTTCAAATAGTTTTCCTCAAAGTGGATGTTTGGTTGCTAGAAATTGTAATTCATTTGATCGAATAGTAAAAGGGGTAAACCAAGTAGAGAAAAGCAAATTAAGAATACATAACTCAACCAATTCAAAGAAAAACCCCCTTCCAGTTTCTATATTGGACCTACATGTTCCCCTGATATAGGGTGATGGGTGAAGTAGATGAGGATTTTGCGGGGGATGGCAAGATTGTAATGACAGGGATCCAGACTCTGATTTTGACGTGTTTCACATGATGAATATTAGAGCGCCCACAATGGTTGAAACTCTCCGAAGTCTTGTACAAATGACACATCATCTTACTTATATTATTTTATGCAACTCACATATTGAAACTCACATATTCTAATGAACGGCCCGCTCCGTTCGTGGGCTTGAATCTGGTTGGCGTTTCTGTTTTCCTATGGGGTGTGTCCGAATCTTATGTGGATTTTTTTATAATTAATATATGTAAGTAATTTTAATTTATTAAAAAAAAATCATGCACCTGGGCCTAGAGGTCCATTGGCATTAACCAGCTTGTTAGGTGCATTCTCCCCTCTCCTGGGTGGGTTTCGAACCCGTCCCGTGTCAAAATGTTCAAAAAAAAAAAAAAAATCATACATTCTAATGAAAATATCCCAAGGCATAGGGTGAGTGGGGGCGTGGTCACCCCTCCAGCCACTTCATCAGGGATTCATTCGCTTTGTATCCCAATTCTGCTGCCTCTAATTCCCCTAGTTCAAAAAGGAAAAAGGACAAAAAACCTCAAAGGATAAGACTCAAATTAGAATACTTAAAAATTGAACCAAATTATTATTTTATAAAAAGTTAAAAAGTGGGAAAAAAAATTGAACTTTTAATTAGTATGGTTATCATCACTATAAAAATAGTTAAAATTATTAAAATTTTGAGTTTGTTTCCTAAATAGTATATAAAAATGTCAATTTGTAGATTGATTTAAATTTAATAGCTAAAAATAATTAATTATTTTATTAGTTATTAATTAATAATTATAATTATTAATTATTTTTATTAATTATTTTTATTAATTAAATTAAATAAAATTAATATTTTAAAATTTTAATATCTATAATGTTATTATTGATCTTAACCGTTGTCAACTCTAATGGGGGTGGGTATCACTTGACCTTTGAGACTAAAGTTATACTCCATTGGAGATGGCCTTAGGTCATCTTTAGTTAGGGCATTTACAATGTGGTAACACTGATGGTGTAATAATCCAATTTTGACTAAAGAAATTTCCATTAGCATAAAAAAAAAAAAATTTGACTCTGTTATAATTCAATTTTTACCCCAAGATTCTCTCAAAATGGAAAATGTTCAATTTAATGAATTGGATTAATGAAAACTTTAGGACGCCATTTTTACTGCCCATAGCTTCTCAGAGTTAGAAGGAATTGGAATCTACATCATGCAAGACATGCTACCATCAGAACTGAATACGATATATTTCTCTAAAAATCATAGTTTACACAGAGAAGTGACCCCCTAGATTAGCTTACAGTAGATAATTGAATATAAGTCTAAGTGACGGAAGTGGTTCACACAACTATGATTTCAGCCAAACAATGCATCCAAACTCCTATATGATATACAAAGACCCTAATGAATAACTAACTGACTGGATTTATATTTCTCTACCCTCATATAGAGCTCATTGCTGCCGGTACACGTACAACAGTTGCTAGCAAATTTGCTTGCAGAAGTAATATGCTTTCACACAAAGTATCTGCCTTAATTTTATCTTCTACCTGCAAAATTAAACGCATTTTACCAGCTGAGAAGGATGAGGTGTCCAAAACCTCTCAATGAAGACTCTCAGTACGTGTTTATGTTCTCAACTTGCTAATTGAGTTTATCTTAGTATGTATGTGGTAAATTGACTGCACTGTGCAAGGGGAATTGGCTGATACTTGCCCTCCGACTTTCATCAATGATATCAAGTTATGGAGAATATATATGGGAGAAAGAAGTACCTCTAGTCCTGTGGGAGAAGAGCAATCTCAATTTCTTGGAGTGATTTTCCTTTTGTCTCCATTACATTCCTTTTAACAAAGACAACTGCCAGCATGCAGAAGCTTGCAAAAATTGAGTACAGAAGCTGTGGTCCAAGTTGCTCTAGCAAACGCAAGAACAGCAAGCCCACAAAGAAATTTATTACCTGAGAAAACAGCACGTATGCAGCCAACAAATAAATTGAGAAAATGTGACTCTCTCCAAATAAGTTTCAACATCAAATTATGCTTAACAGGAAAGAAACAAAGACCAATGAGAATGTAAGAAAATGGGAAGAAAATTACCCAGTGGACTGACATACATACTGCCATAGCTGTCGCCCTAATTCGACTGGGAAATATTTCTGGAAGAAGTAGACCTGGAACTGGACCAGCTCCAATAGCAAATGTCAAGACAAACCTGCACGGAGCTCATAATTAGGATACATATGTTGACATAATCTCTCTATTTAACTATGAATACCTAGGACTAAAATTTTATATAGATGCCCAAAAAAAAAAAGTTTTATATGGTAGCTTTTTTTATTTGGTCATCATATGGTAGCTAACTGTGCACCTGATTCTATACAATGAAGATGGAGAAACAACAGTACTCAATCAGACAACTGAAAGTTCTATTTCATAGTTTAGATTTAAATCGATGAGAAAAGATTTCTTGAACACATTTTGTACTTTGCTCATCATTTCTATGCAATTCATACATTCCAGTTACTGCCTTTTCTGATTCTTCCGATGGTATAGGGTTAAGATGAAATGAACTCATGATTCATTATTTATTAAGAAGCATCTATACTAAAAAATGTAAAAATGAAGCAACATCTTCGAATATCTTAGAAAATGAGCACGCCTGTAGCAACCATGTACAAATGAAATAAAATCCACGACTAAACATTACAAATTGAAAAACAATTACTTACATTAGCATGCCACCAACAGAAAAGTAAAAATTTAAGGAGGTTGTTATGAAGGAACTTGCAGCAGCAACTTGCAGAACCATCGATACTGCCTGAATAGATCAAATTACACCATGTTAGGCCTGCTAAGATTTTCTACAATTATAGATTCCACTTTTTCATTCAAAAGCAAAGTGGTGATCTGCTTATAGCTGACCCATGCATGATTAAGTGAATGCTTTGAATTACCAGAATACATCATCTTTTCCTCTCATCATGCAGGAAAATTAGTTTGTTTTAACAAGCACAAGATGAAAGTTATCTAGAACATGAGTAGTCCATTCTTTGGCAGAAAACATGTGAGCATTTGTGAGATGTAATTTCGACCATGTGATAAAAGGAGACTATGAGGCCCATGCATAGCATGTGATAAAAGACAATTATGAGGTCCATGCATATTCAGCACAACTATCACTTAATTTTTCTAAATATTTCACTTTTATAATCTTGGCAGGATGTTGCTTTCCACCAAAGATATAGGATTGCAATTTACCATGCCAAAGAAGCTCCAGAGAAGCAGGATCTTCCTTCCAAGTTTATCCATCAAAACCATTGCAACAACAGATCCTGGAAAGGAAAACAACATAAAAATCAAGAGGCTGGTAAAAATAAAAAAATAAAATAAAATAAAAAACATATGAATCAAGATAAATGAAATGACTCAGCATATGCAATAAAGATGTGTAGGAGCAAGAGTATACCAGATAAGTTTGCAATTCCTACGAATGTGTTGGCAAGATTTGATGGTACTCCCGCACTCTTAAATACAGATGAAGAGAAATAAAAGACGGCATTTATTCCAGATAGCTGTTGTAAAGCAAAGAGGGTTGACCCAATAAAAACAACTGCAAAAGAAGCGGATGAATGAAAAAGCCTAAAAGGAAACAAGCAAAGAACAAGAACAGGGAATGAGAACAGCCTTAGCAGCAGCTGTAGATGCCAAAAAAAGGAGAGAATAAAAATATACACAGAAAAGTCTATATATGTTGACAAAAAGTATAATGCATACCTCTAAAATGGCGTCCATAAAGCAGCTCTGAGAGTTTGACAGTATCAGCATCATCGCCTCTGTCTAACTTGTATAATTCTGCCATTGCATATTTGACATGTGATGCACCTAAAAGCTTCTCAAATTCAGCTTCAGCTTCAGCAGCTCTTCCTTTCTATACACACAAATAAAATACTGTAAGCATTAATCAAATCCCAATTAACGCCCTTTTCTGAATTTGATGCCGTACATTATGGAAAGGTCTCTCTTATCCCTGACCCTGAGAATATGTTTTCTAAAAGGCGGTTTTATTTATCATAGCAAACTGATAAGAAAAATAGTATTATGACCAAGAGTATTCCAACCTAACTACAATATAATGTTACAAAGTAACCAATTGCATCTCTCTCTCTCACACACACAGAGGAAGAGGGGGGGGGGGGGGGGGGGGGGGGGGGGAAGCAGAGATACATCCACCATGGGTTCCACATTGATATTTCAACATAAAGTGAGTATATTAAGATATGACATTTGGAAAACTTCACTTATCTAGTTATCCTGAGAATAGGAAGAGACAATGCTCAATGGGAAGGATAATAAAAATGTCAAATTGAAGAAGATGCAAATAAGAAGAAACCTTGTATAACCAATGAGGGCTCTCTGCACAAAACATCATAGCCAGAGCAAGTATTCCGGCAGGAATTGCAGATACCCAGAAACAAATACGCCACCTAAGAAGATAAGGAAAAGAATGTCTCATTAGGTACACAAAAACCACAAATGTTCTATTATCTCCTTTAATCTCATTCATAATTCATACCAGCCAGCAATTTCTTTAACAGGGATTCCAATTAGAAGAGACCCCATAAGCCCCAGGCATGTTGCAATCTGAATGAAGCTTCCATAAGTTCCTCTCACAGAAGCAGGAGACACCTGCTAGCAGAATTGAGGCAAAATGAGATGTAGGAACAACCCTACTTAACTACTTTCATGTTGAAGAAATTGTTCACTAATCATTCTTCAATGAGTAACAATAGGAATATACCTCTGTCACATAAAGAGATGCAACAGGTGGACCAACGCCCATTCCAGTACCAACTAAGAACCTTCCTAGAAGCATACCCAGCAGAGTTTTGGTTGTTGCACTGAAATATAGATTTTCTTCAGACTTCTATCCACATAAAAATGGAAATGATGCCTTAAACAGCAGGTAAACCAAAGAGTACTATTCCCTCCGTACCTATTTATCAGACAATATAACTATCTTTGCAAGTAATTTTAGACAATAATTTTACATTGCATATGAATGATAATTGAAAATTTCTTTTTTACAATATGTAGTAGATGTTGAGTAGTTTCATTTTATCCAAAAAAAGATATTGTAAAAACATTACATGTAAATAGCAATGGATGGAGTACTTCTGAGAACAAGGAGATATGTAACAGTGAACATCCACTTACATATGTTTAAGACTTGCATAATTTATCTGTTATCGATTTCACAAATCAAATGGCTGAGATGATGGGACTATATTTGGTAAGTTGATAAATATTTCTAAATATATCACCATTAACTCAGCCATTGAATTTGTGAAATAAATGGCTGATATTCTGATCATTTAGGTAAGACTTAAAAGTCTTACACATATTTAATTGGACCCTGTCTCATAAATACATTATAACTAGTAATAAAAACCTAAACCAAGGATTACGTTTTGAATTATAACAAACAATGAACAGTTTTAAATACACAATAAAGTCCTAGCTTAAGTTGCATCAATGCTAAAAGTCCTATTAAATAAAAAGTTTAGCAAGTGACCAAAAAAATTAATGAAATAAATGCCATGAGAATTGAAACTTGATCATAAACAAGCCATCATTTCGTTGCATATCACCTTATAGAGGCACCAATAATCATTGGAAGAGCACATAATTGAAATGCCCTACGGCGTCCAACACCATCTGCAATCCAACCACTTAGCAGAGATCCAATAAATGCACCACCCAAACACGTACTAACCACAAGACCTACAGTCAACATTACATTGAGTCTGTCAAGTTAGAATTCTAGATGCAGAAAAAGTCATCAAATAGATAAGAGAAAAAGGAGTAAAATCCACCACATTTCACCTTCTTCTAAAGTATTCCCACTGAAACCAAGATCCGAAGAGATGCTTTCAAGTGGTTCATTTACAACTCTGTAGAGGTTAGCAAAATATGAATCATAAGTAACCATTTACTGCTTTACAGAAATTATCAACAAAAAATTAACCAAAAAAAGAACACAGATGACTAAGTTTGGATAACACAAACCCAAGGTGGTAGCCAAATAAGAATGAAGATATAGTTGCCACTAATACATAGGGGAAGGAAAGCCTCCATGAAGGATTTGCTGCTTCCAAATCCACACCGTTCTGTGAAAGAGCTAAACAAGACACAGAGAATCAAACCGAAAAAAGTCTTCAAACAACCCTTTATGTAAAATGTGCCAGCATTCTAATTATATCTCTCCAAAACTTCTATTCTTCAATTTGCTTCTAGAATTTGCATGGTAAATAATGAATTCTCTCACTGTTTAACAAATCCAAAATTCTGCAACTGGTTAAGTATTTTAAAGACTGAAACTAAAAGGACAAAATTTGTTCCCAGAGAGAAATATCAATTACCAGCACCAGCCAAATAGACCGGAATACTAGTTCTAGGGATCTCATTAACACAGCTGTTCAGAGATCTCATCCTGGTGAAGTGAGAAATTTACCTGAGTTGTCCTCCACTGCAACCAAAGTTGCATCACCTGCAAAATCTCTTGAGGGCACCCTCTTGTACATTGAGAATCCTTCACGCTGACGTGCCCACATGCCAAATCGACTCACCAGCTGAGAGCTCCAAAGAATCCAGGATGCAAACACGATTTCAGCTAATTAACAAGACTTAGAAAATCAACGAATCACCTCATGATCACGCAATCTAAAACTAGAAGAATCAAAACTGCAAAATCCTAAATAGATCACAGAAGGCGTGAATAAAACGCAGCGGTTTCTTCAACTCCGACTATCCGTAATTTTACAGCGTAAGTTGTACGCTAAATCCTGCACATTAAGATTCAGGTAATAAGTTTTAGTCTGTTATTGGTTAATCCTCTGCATTCCTTCAATTTTCTCTTTCCTCATGGTTTTCTCATCCACCAAACAAATCAAAAAGAAAAACAGAGGATCTCGAAAGTGAACAAAAACCTCTTCAGAAATATCACAAAAATTCACAACCTTAACCAAAATACATCTAGAAACATGGAGATTCAAACCGAAAACGCGAAAACGGATTCATATGAAGCACCAACCGATTGATCCAAAAAAGCTCGTATGCGACCAAAATTATCAGAAAATTAAGATCAAAATGAATCGAAGCAGAACGAATTACCTTGATATGGATTCGATCATCAAAAGATTGATAGTAGATCTGAAGCAAAAAGGCGCAAGAGAATTCTGGAATAGCTGCTATCTGGTACTGTCAGGTAGCGCAATTTCGCAAAACCAGGCTTTCAACTCAAGTATTTATCAACAAGAAAATAAAAATAAAAAATAAAAATAATACCATAAATCTATAATCCTACAACTATTAAATTCTAATTAATAATCAAATTATATCATATCTAAGAAGTTCTCTTAATTTATTATTCTATTTATAAATTTTAAATTCAAAATTTTATTTAAAACAAAAAAACGAAATCTCTTTCATTTAAATTAATAAGTTATTAATATAAAAAATAATATTATAGTAACAATAATATTTGTTATTTTAAATTTATAATATAATATATTATTATATAATTAATTATTTTTATTAAAAAATTTATTAATAATATTATATATATTTATTTAATATTATATTATAATTATAAATTTAACTTTACGTATTAATATAATTATAACATTAAAAAAAAACTTTCCCGCTATTACACGATGCCTCTAGTCTTATCTCTTCCCGAAAAAATGATTTAGGGGTGAACTCCACGTTTATCTGCTTCACTTAAGTTAATTAATTTTATTTAAGTCTTAAATTAATATTTAAGACTTAAAATTTAAAATTTATAAATAATAATTATTTATTTATAAATTTAGTTGTGCGTGGACTGACTTTAATACTATGCCCTTTTTTTCCAACTAAATTGACAGGAGAGAGTAATACCAAGAAAGAAGACCTTTTTTTCCACTGAGGAAATTGACTGTTAATTAAAATTTTCAAGAAGTACAGATTAATAATTTAATTTTATTTAAATAGTCGCTAAATTGTGGAGGCAGAGGAGGAAATGCGTTTTGATTTGGGAAAACGCTAAATGTAATTTTAATATATTAATTTCTATTAAAAAAGTAATATTAACTTTAATATTTTTAATATATAAATATTTTTTATTAATTATTTAATAAATTTAATATTAATTTTTTAATTTTATTATAAATATTAATAATAAAAAATATAATAAATACACCCCCCTCTTCTCAACAACACATCGTATATTAAATACCGGAGACCTGTTACGTGAGACAAAAAGTGATATATACGGGGAATTGGGGTAAATATGTCATTTAATCGAATAATAAAGGGGGGAGTAATATATTTTGGCGGCTATAATTGTGCCAAGTGGCAGAAAGTTAATGGAACCGGTGCTGCGTTGCTTTACATACATCGCTTTACGCAACCGCTACTACTATATTTTATTCAATTGTCGAGGTTTGTTTGTTAGTTTGTTTTTTTATTAATTTTTTGAATAATTATATTGAATTAAGTTAATTTAAAATTAAGTTATATTAAATTTTATTAAAAAAAATCATTTTAACATTTATTTTACTATTCATAAAATTTAAATTTAAAATTTTACTCTTTTCATTCAGCAACAAATCGATGTGGAGGTTTGTTTGTTTGTTACATTTGGCATATAAGCCATACTGCATTCCCATAAAAGTTACAGTTGTGTTGGATGATTGGAATTTTTAATTTTAATTTTTAATTTTTATAAATTTTATAATTTTAAATTAAAAGATTGTTAGTAGTGAGTGGAATCGGGAAAGCTCTTGTTGCTACTTGAAGATCAAGATGGCAGCCAAAAAAGTTACAGTTGTGTTGGATGATTGGAATTTTTAATTTTAATTTTTTATTTTTATAAATTTTATAATTTTAAATTAAAAGATTGTTAGGTTTTATGTGTTTTTACAATAATATTTTTAATTAAAAGTATAAGTTAATAATATATTTATTATATATTTTTTATTATTAATACGTATAAAAAATTTTAAAAAATAAAGTTTAATTTTAATATGAATGTTACATGAAATATTTTTATTAGATAATTAATAAATTTAAAGTTAATTTTATTTTTTAAAATAAATTAATAATAAAAAGTACAATAAATATACCATTTATTTATTTCTTTTTTATAATATATTATTATAATAAAAAAATTTTATCAATCAAATTTATTAAAAAATTAAATAAAAATATTTAAAAAGAAATTGAGCAATAAGCTTGAGTTTGTTTATTAGAATGAAATTGAGAAGTGAGCTCGGGAAAAATGAAATTTTAGTTGGTGTACTTCATGCCATAAAAATGTTCAACTTTTAAGATATTTTACAAATTTGCTACTTCTAAACCAAATTTAATCTAAGGCATAATTATGTCATTGAACATGTTCCCTACTCTGAAAAAATGCTTGAAGGATATGACTGTCACATTTTAAGAAAAAGTTACTCAATTATAGTCATTGAAGGGTACATTTTATTAATTAAAATATTTAGTACATATTGTATCTTTTATAGCTACTATCCTTAATTAATAAATTGTAATTATTTTTGTTTTTCCACACTTATGTGGACATGTTAAACGCATCCATTTTTCCTTCATTTAATCTTTAATATTATGCATATCTAATTAGAATACATAAAACCAAAAATGTAAGAAGTCTAACCAATATTACTTCTGTATTGCTTGAGGTATTTTTTTTTTTTCTTTTATGTGATGTACTGCTAGTTTTTTTAATCGGCAAATGTTAAATTTATCCAATCCCAACATAGCGAAAATACACCTCAACCAATTACATGATATATTGTTGTTTATTTTATGGACACTGACACATATACCTTCTAAAAGTTATTAAGGCAACTGTAGATACTGCTCCGACAATGGCTCAATCACAAGGGAAATCAAGCTTGAATGATTCTCCCGATCATTCTGCCAATCAAATAATTTGCAATAATTAAGATTTACTCTTTATGTATGTTTCCTTTTCACTAGCTCTTTCCATAAGAATAAATTAGGGCTGCTTCAGATCTTGTATATATATACATGTAAAAACCAATGAATAATACATCTCAGTTTCTACTTTCAATCTCCTTCTTCACCTCAATAGTGGTATCAGAGCTCCTTTCTCAAACGAGCATAACTAATGGCCAGTGAATCCTCTGCAACTATCACCTCTCCTTCTATCCCCACTGATGCCGCCATCTCTACTGGACAGAACACTATCATCACCTTCAATGCTACTGCTCATTTTCCTCTCAAACTCACTCCGAGCAATTATCCTTCTTAGCGGGCACAATTTCTGTCCATCCTCACGGTCTACAAATTAACTGGGTTTCTTGATGGATCTAAGCCTTGCCCACCAGCACCAATCAGAGAGGTTTCGGACTCACCCTTTGAGCTTTGGATCTACCAAGATCAGTCAATCCGTCATGCCATTCTTACATCAGTTTCAGAACCAATTACTCCTTACATATCTGCTGTTGAAACTTCCCAACAAGCTTGGAGAACTCTAGCTAATCTCTATGCCAATCACTCAGTTTCAGAACCAATTACTCCCTACATATATGCTGTTGAAACTTCCCAACAAGCTTGGAGAACTCTAGCTAATCTCTATGCCAATCACTCAAGATCTAAAGTTTTTACACTCAAGGAGAGGCTTCAAGACACTCATCATGAAGGCCGCACTATCTCTGAATTTCTTCATCAACTCAAGGTGCTTGCCGATGAACTTGCTGCAATTGACAAACCTCTTACCAACGATGACTTGACGGTGCATGTACTCAATGGAATAGGCCCTGAATTTCCTGAGATCTCTGCTTCAATTCGTGCTCGAGATGAGCCACTTTCATTTGAAGAACTTCATGATAGACTAGTTGCCCATGAAGAAAGCATGCATAGGGAAGAAACTCGAATTGAAAATACACCAGTGACTGCCCATTTTGCTGCTATGCCCACAAGGAGACTTGCTGGTAATGATCCTACTTTTTCTACAAATTCTAGTCTTTCAAATGCTTCCTTTCAATCCAATGATGCAGGAATTCTACCATTGCCACAAAATATACAACATTTTGGCTCAGGCCCCCAAATGGCAAGAGGAAGAGGAAATGGGCGCCAAAGACCAAATCAATTCAATAGAAACAGAGGAGGCCTAAACCGGCCCAACACCAACAGGCCCAATATATCTTGTCAACTGTGCAACCGTTTTGGGCATACAGCTCGTACATGCTCACTGTTTTGAAATCAAGGCCAAGGACTTGCAACCCACTATGCAGCATCTACCAGTCCAAACACTAATGAATGGGTGATTGATTCATGTGCTAATAATCATATCACAACTGATCTGTCAAACCTGGCATTGCATTCAGAATATAATGGCCCTGATGAACTAATTATTGAAGATGGCTTAGGTTTGAAAATCACTCATGTTGGTCATACTACCCTCACAACACCCACCTCATCTCTTCCTTTACATAATGTTTTATTTGTACCTACAGCATCTCGTAATCTTATTTCTGTCTCTCAATTATGCCGAACCACAAATTCTACTATTGAATTTCACCCTAATTTTTTCTTGGTGAAGGATAGCAACACGGGGGCGATACTATTGCGAGGGCCAAATCGACATGGGATGTACCAAGTTCCTCTAATGGGCCCTTCTAAACAAATGCCCATGGCATATTTTGGAGAAAAGACATTGGCAATAAATTGGCATGCAAGGCTGGGACATCCATCATCCAAAATATTCAAAAAAATTCTCAGTGTTATTGATTTGCCATTAATAAATAAATTTGATGGTCTTTACTGTGATTCTTGTTCCTGCTCTAAAAGCCACAAACTCCCATTCTCAACATCCTCCATCACCAGCCATGCCCCTCTTGAATATATTTTCTTTGATTTTTGGAGTCCTGCACCCACCACGTCTATTGATGGTCACAAATTTTTTATTATATTTGTGGATTTATATAGTCGGTATATTTAGCTATATCCAATTAAAAAAAAATCAGATGTCTCAATTATTTTTCCAAAATTCAAGTCTCTCGTCGAAACTCAATTTGGGCGTAAAATAATTAATTTTTATTCCAATGGAGGTGGGGAATATGTTGCTCTTCGAAATTATTTTCAACAACATGGTATTTCTCATTTCACCACCCCACCTTACACTCCAGAACTCAATGGTATTTGTGAAAGACGAAATCGATCTATTGTTGAAACTGGTCTCACTTTACTTCACCACAGTTCACTTCCCACTCAGTTTTGGTCCCATGCTTTTCAAACTGCAGTATATTTACTCAATCGTTTACCTACTTCTGTTTTGTCTTTCACATATCCCTTTCAAAAGCTTTTTTCTATTCCACCAAATTATTTAAAACTAAAAACTTTTGGGTGTGCCTGTTACCCTTGGATGCGCCCATACACCCAAAATAAACTTCAACCAAGATCTCATCAATGTATTTTTATTGGTTACTCTGTTGATCATCTTGGCTATAAGTGTTTTGATACTCAAACAAATAAAATATTTATTTCCAGACATGTTATTTTTTATGAAAATCAATTTCCTTTTCGGGTTTCTACAGAAAAATCAGCTTCCCAAATTCAAAATTCCCCAAATCTCACCAATGTTCAAATCTCTAATTTTTCTCCTTCATCTTCATCTCAGCCCTCCACAAAATCAACTTCAATTTTTCCTTCTTCTTCTCCAGCACCAGACCCAGCTCCATCCCCGGCTCCTCTCTCAGCCTTGCTACCACCGATGCCTTCCACCACTACCAACTCACCTTTGCAGGACTTCGTCATCCCAATCTTGCAGGATGCATCGCCTCCCATTGCTTGCGGTTCAGATCTGGATTCCTCTCCCTCTTACTTAGGTATTTCTTGCCCTCCTACTACCTCCCTGCTGCCGTCAACTCCCTTCCCTCTCCCTCTCCTTCTTCCTCATCCTCGTCCCCTGTCTCCTCCTCGTCACCAGCCTCTGTCTCACCTTCTCCCGTCACCAGCTCCTCTTCACCTAGTCTGGCCCCAATCCCCTCCCACCCAGCACCGCCCAATACCCATCGAACTCACTCCATGGTCACCCGCTCCCTCAATAACATCTTCAAGCCAAAACAGATGCATCTTGCCACCAAACATCCTTTCCCCGCCACTGTTGAGCCCTCATGTGTGAGCCAAGCCTTGCGTCACCCCCAATGGCGAAGGGCTATGTCCGATGAGTTTGATGCTCTTGTTCGCCAAGGGATTTGGGACCTGGTTCCAGCCTCTCCGACCCAGAATGTTATTGGGTGTTAGTGGGTGTTTCGGTTAAAAAGAGGAAAAAATGGTGAGATTGAGCACTACAAGGCGCAACTAGTGGCCAAAGGCTTTCATCAGCGGCTTGGTCACGACTATTCCAACACCTTTAGCCCTGTTATCAAACCCACCACCATATGCACTGTGTTTACCATTGCTGTCAGTCAAGCTTGGCCAATTAGGCAACTTGATGTGAATAATGCGTTTCTCCATGGCTCTGTTGAGGAAGACTTATACATGGCTCAACCGGCCGACTTCATTAATCAAAATCTTCCTCATCATGTCTGCAAATTGAAGAAAGCCATCTATGGACTTAAGCAGGCTCCCCATGCTTGGTATATTGAATTGAAGCAATTCTTGCTTGCCTGTGGTTTGGTTAACTCTCGCTCTGATTGTTCCTTGTTTATTCATAATAAATCCGGGATTGTTATCTATGTGTTAGTTTATGTTGATGATATATTGATTACTAGCAACAGCACTGCTTTTATCTCAGATTTGATCAACAGGTTGGGGCAAAAATTTTCATTAAAGGACCTTGGTGAACTTAGTCTATTTTTGGATGTTGAGGCAGTTAAAACTTCTACTGGTTTATTTCTCTCTCAGCACCAATATATTAATGATCTTTTACAGAAAAGCAAAATGGATGGTGCCAAAACAGTTGCCACACCGATGTCCTCCTCGGGTTTGTCACCTCAGAGTGGTTCTGCAACTCTCTCCGATGCTACAGCTTACAGGCAATTACTTAGTTCTTTGCAGTACTTGTCCTTAACTCATCCTGACATTTCATTTGCTGTAAATAAACTGTCTCAGTATATGCATTGTCCCACTAAGTTGCACTGGCAGGCAGTCAAACATATTCTCCGATATCTAAAGGGCACCATGTTCCATGGCTTATTGATACGATCCAGCTCTAGTCTCGCTCTCCATGCTTTCAGTGATTCTGACTGGGCAGCTGACAAGGACACCTTTGTGGCTACTACCAGCTATCTTGTATTTCTCGGTGCCACACTTATATCTTGGAAGGCTAGCAAACAAAAAGCCATTGCTCGAAGCTCTACCGAGGCAGAGTATAGAGCCTTGGCCGCTGCCTCCTCTAAGTTAGTTTGGGTACTGCATTTGTTGAGTGAGCTTGGTCTTCCTTCTAGTACGCCACCTGTTCTCTACTATGACAATGTTGGTGCTACATACCTTAGCAGTAATCCAGTCATGCATTCCCATATGAAGCACATTGCAATTGATCTCCACTTCATTCATGATTTAGTTGACAAGAGAATTCTTCGTGTTTCTCACGTTGCCTCAGCAGATCAACTTACAAATGGGCTAACCAAACCATTATCTTCCTTCCGCTTTGCCTTGCTACGGTCCAAGATTGGTGTCGTTGATGGCTCCACCATCTTGTGGGGGCGTATTAAGGCAACTGCAGATACTGCTCTGACAATGGCTCAATCACAAGGGAAATCAAGCTTGAATGATTCTCCCAATCATTCTGCCAATCAAATAATTTGCAATAATTAAGATTTTACTCTTTATGTATATTTCCTTTTCACTAGCTCTTTCCATAAGAATAAATTAGGGCTACTTCAGATCTTGTATATATATACATGTAAAAACCAGTGAATAATACATCTCAATTTCTACTTTCAATCTCTTTCTTCACCTCAATAAAAGTTACACAATTCGTTATACACTAACGATTTCTGTTAGTGTATTGTTAAAATTAATAATTTTCATTAGTTTTAATGATAAAAATAATAAAAATTATCAGTTTTAATTGTATAAATAACAAAAAAAAGTTAATTTTAATAATACATTAACAGAAACAGTTAGTATGTAACTGGGTGTATAATTTTAGAGGATATGTGTATCATTTTTCCTATTTATTTTACTATATTATGTTAAGTAGAGATATAATACAAAAATACAATAAACCTAACCTAATAATTGATCCTGGTTCCACTTCTGAGATTAAGTCAGCAAATTGGAAACGATAACAAAGGCAAGATCACGTTGGTCAAAAAGGTATGGTTATAAGATCAGGATCAGTGGGAAAACAAATCAAAAAGGTCACCTTAATGTCATGTTATTACCATTAATATTATTGTATATAAATTGGTCGTTGGTGCTTATTCGCCTTACCTCTAAAAAATTAAGAGAGAAAAGAACAAAAATCACCTTAATGCATGCTTTAAAAATAAATTAGTTTAGTTTTTTTCAATAAAAATTTATTAAAATGACGTAGTTTTTGAATGATTTTCCTTATAATCTTGAGGAGGTAAGGCTGATAGACACTATTTTCTTTTTTATATGTTTAATCTTTAGATAGAACATCTCCTCGGACTTGGGCCAAAGGCTCAATGGTGTTAGACCACATATAAGTGCATTCTCCCTCCCCAAAGTAATGGTTCGAATTTAGCCGTTGCAAATTTGTTAAAAAAAAAAAAAAAAGAAAGATAGAACATCTCCCCTTAAATATATTCTCTTAAACAAAACCTTTCAAAAATCACATAATATTGTTTTATTTTACCTATATTTTATATATTTATATAAAATTTTGAATTAGATTTTTTTCAAGAAAAAGATCTCAATAGTTGGATTAAAAAATATAACGTTTGTAAGAAAGTGGCAGACACATGTTAACATACCTGATACAGGCTTAATGTGCATGTTAAGTCTAGTCAACATTTACGATTAAATGAGCTAAAACGACGTTATTTTGGCTTATTTTGGATCATGAAAAATTTGACCAAGCTGTCTTTGGAACAAAAAATAAAGTTAAGTTTTGAAAAATACTCCAATGAGGCCAAACTTTGCCTATGGTTTTTTTTTTTTTTATATACTAATCGCTTAGTATCTGATAATTATATTAAGTCCCGATTAATTTAGAATTGAGCTGCGTTAAACTCTATTTGGGAGGAAATTTTCTCAGTACTTATTTTTTCATTCATAAAACTTAAATTCAAAATCTTATTTAAAGAGAAACGAATTCATTCTACTTAGACCAATAAATTGTTGATTTTCTATGATTTATTTTGAGAAAATAACAATGAAATAGAACATAGTTGTACATGCTATAAGAGCAGAGTTAAAAACCAATTATGAGCAAAGGAAAAATAAGTCACGGGAACACACTATTTTTATTTTTTAATTAAATTAATAGAGTTATTATCTTATTAAATAAGAAAAAAATTTAAAATATGGACAAAAATAAAAATATTATATTATTTAATTAAAGTTTCATTTTGTTGTTTTGATTTTTTTAATTTTGATTTTATAAATCTTAGAATTCTAAATAAAAAATTTGTTTACTTTCATGTATTTTTACAATACATTATCATAATTATTAGAGAAATAAAAATAAAAATAATTTTAATATTATTAAATAAGTTTATATTTTTTTAGTGTTAAAATTTGTTTTATACAAATTTTAGTTTTTAAATTTAGTTTTAGTTTTTAAAAATTGTAAAAT